TRAAAGAGCCACTATAAAACATAGAAAAGTAAAAAAAATTGTAGTTACATAGAGCATACAGTAGTATGGAGCATATTTTCTATATTCCCGTTTTTTTATGAACGGCTCTTCTTCTGGTTGCACTTGCTGATGTTTAGTGATACTTACTGTTCATGAGAAAAACTGCAGCAATGTGTGTAAAAACAGCAACAAACACTCAAAATGTGCCTCACTCTGATCACATGGAATAAATAATATTCCAGAAAAAAAAGATTAGTTAGTTTTGTAGTTTAAAAATTAAAAACTTCCAGGCCTCTAAAGGCTGAATTGTACGGCACTGATTTTTTCTGTTCATGTGTCTTTCATCTTTCCAATCATTGGTAGTGTATAGAGATGAGTATCCTATCAGACAAAACCAGAGATGAACAATGATAAAACAARTCATCATCTTCCTAAAATAATCACCTAAGTTACTTTTTTCAAGTTTTTCCAGATATACAAAGACTCAACCAAAAATGTGCCATGAAATTTGTGGCTGAGTTTTTGTGTTTCTGAAAAACCTTGAAAAAGAGACACAGGCGATTATTTTCGGAAGGTGACGAACTACAAACTTAGCAAAAATAAAATAAAATTAAAAATTAAGGAAATTTGTGTCTGATGGATTATTTCTTTGTTGTAACAATTCTTCTTGGCAATAAATCGTATACTGTTAAGAAGCATGTTAATTTACCTTTTAAATGGCGCCACATTTGTAAGGAACATGCATCTGTGGGATGAGGAGTAGAGCTGAGTATGTGGGTTGTACACATAAAAAAATTGCCAAATCCTCTTTGCCAAACAGGCTTTTTTTATGCTGTTGCTACTGTCACTTGTTTTGAGCTTCTGGTACCCCCAGATTGATTTGATTTGATTTATTGATTCAACAGGAAAAGGTTACTAAAAATCAAGCCTGACTCAGCATAATTGCTGTTTTACAGCAAGTTCCTGTTCTGCAGCACATAAAACACATCATTATACACCATAGACACAAAGACAAACAAGCATACCAAAATTTCAGGAAGGCAGCATTTGCAAAATGGGATGTCTAAATATGAGCACAACAAAAAGTGTCCAGCAGATGGCAGACAAGATTCTTCTTAAAGGGCTGTAGTTTTGAAATGGACTTTATGTTTTGAGGAATGTCATTCCATGCTTTAGTATAAACATAGAAGAAAGACCTCTGGYCSTAACAGTTTTTAAAAGTTGGTAATATCAGTTGTCCTTTTGTAACAGATCTAGTTGAATGACCACTTCCAGAATTTGATTTGGACAACAATGCACAGAGAGTTCCATAATTGGCACCTTGGAAGATCTGAAAATATAAATTAATACCACTATACAAAACATAATTCTGAAAAGTCAAGGCATCAGACAATGAATGAACTGTACAGTGATGAGTCCAACCAGGAAGTTTTTTATGAATTTTGTAGGCCCTGTTGTAGAGCCTAACTATGGGTTCTAAGATTTCATTTGTTGTAAGAGACCAAACAGGTAAACAGTACGACATGGTTGAGAGATTACAGATTAACATTTAGAATTACCTGGGGACAAATTACATAGGGCAGCTGTAGAACAGTGGTAGGGCAGCCGTCGTGGGACCAGAAAGTTGCAGGTTGAATTCCCCACCATGCCCTTAAGTTGTGTGCCCTCGAACCGACCGTGCACTTAAATAGCTGCCCACYGCTCCACTACGTGTGTGTGAACTAATTTCATTGCTGTATGGGCACATTCAATGATTACAACATTTACTACCTTAAAACAGTTAATTCTGCATTTAGTGATTCCGTACCTTCTGCACACACTGCGCATATTCACACAAGATTATGYATGCATGCTAACACACACCCACCTCCTCATGCTCTCCTGCTCCCGGTCATTATGACTGTAAGTGTGCAACCCACACAAACTATAGAAGTCTAGACTAAATCAGAACGCAACAAGGTGTAAAACTGTGAGAGTTCTGTGGGTTTGCAAGACTTTTTTTTGTTTCTAATCTCCACTGTCTGACTTGTGTGTACTTGTTGTTTCCCCACCCACCTCAGCTCATATGCCATTATCTCAGGCCTCGGTCTATGATAAAGTGATACAGTGATAATATCCAAAATTGCCATGTTGATACCTACACACACAGCAAAAACAATATTAGTATTCCTTTCAGTCTCCCAGCTTAGAAACCACTTTCCTCTACTGGAGTGCAGCTGACAGCTAAGAGGTTAGTTACCTTTAAAATGTTCCCCCACCTGCCAAAAATAGCCTCTTTTATTCTGCTGCTCTTTAACTGCTTTTACTTCACCAGTCAACACAGATCAGAAAAGGCCAGCTATCAGGAGAGAAGAAAAGCAMTACTTCTGTTGAGCTCGATGAAAAAACACAGGGAGACAGAGACAGAAGAGCATCTGAGACCGAGTCGAACCGAAGACGGTTCACATCAGAGCAGCAAACACATCTTACCGTTATTATTTTCTCAAGGTTTACTCATCTCACTCTGTTCTGGTCTTATCGTTCAGCCTTCAGCAGTTAAAACACCCTTATGTCTGTTTTTGGCTCTTGTTTTATTTTATTTTCGTTGCTCATGTAACATCTTCAAGTTACACTTCTGTCGCTTTTATAGAGATTTTCTTCCTCCGTGAAGCTTCACATGATGAAATTTTGATGAAAGTATGTTGCTTATATGGCTGAGCCGCAAAGACATGATGCAGCCTTAAACATTGCCTTAAAATGTAAGCTGTTGTCAGCCAAGAATACATTATTAAAAAAAGTAACTCAAATATTAAAGAACAGAGGACAATAAGTCCAAAACATGTGAAGATAGTTCATCACTTCTGATTCTTTTGATAGAAAATATAATTGCTTGTCAATTCGTATGTAAAAAAATATGCATTTCAGAGGCTGATGTATGAGGCATCAATAGAAAATATTGTAAAAAAAAAAACTGCAGGACTCTGATGATAAAGGTCCTCAGTCAGTCAAGTGATGGTAATCCTATTTGGTTGAAATAAAGACAACTGGACTTTTTGCATGTTTTCAAATTGCATTTACATGATTTTTAGCAAACAACAATGGAAATACTTACAGTATTACTTATTTTAGTACAGAAGAGGGTTAGAACCACAGAACAAAAAAGAATTCTGACTTTAATCTTTGAATTCTAGAGTTGTGAAAAAAAGTCAGTATTCTGACTTTAGTTGTAGTCTGACTTTAATTCTACAGTTCTGAGAGAAAACAGAATTCTGCATTAATTCTGCAATTCCAAGAAAAAGCTCAGAAGTCTGAGTTTAATTCTTGAATTTCAGAATTCTGAGWCAGAACTCAGGAAAAACATGTACTAATATTATTATTAGTTTTGGTTCTGTGGCMCAAATCCTCTTCTGTATGTTAGGATTAAAGTTGGATGACATTCTGTATTTAATTACCAGCTGAAGTTATGAAACTCAAAAGGCTTTAAATCAAGTGAGCACATGTATCTGTCTGACAWATCTTGGGTCTGGTTTCTGTTCTACTCATCTTTAGAGAAAAGCTTTGGATTCTCACAGGATRTAAACAAATGGTGACCAAAAAGGCTTGACGCATCTTGATGTTTATTGATTACAAACCAGCTTAGTGTGGATGTAAAACCACCATTCCACTGAACCAAAACTAAACAAATAAAACTGTAATATAAAGATGAAAAAAAAAACATATAAACTGTATAAGTAAAAACAATGCACTTTTTGCAATATGGAAAAATGTCCTAGCTGTACCTGAATATGAGCTAAAAACATGCAAGTTGACTTTTTGGAGCATACACTCATGCCCTAGTTTAGCTTTATTTTGACACGACTATAAAGAAATTGCAACTACTTTAAAGAAACAGTATTAACTTTTAAAAATTCCCACACTGGATTGTGTCTGTTGAATTAAATACATCTCAGTAGACAAAAAACAAGCAGTCGAACTGGCAGTTCAGACTTTTATGATTTCTTCAGCTGACACATTTTCCTTTCCAAACTCTTTGAATTAAAGTTTGGAAAATCAATGTTGAAAAAATTACCCACAAGAAGTGAAAATGTTTTCCAAAAATGAAATCTAATGTAATAATTCTAAATAATTTAATAAARAAACATTTATAGMGTCAGAAGGGTGAGGCTAAYGATTTATTCCCTGAAAACATCAAGACAGTTAATCACCTATTGCCTCATGCTTCTCACCACCTCCACACACAAACACATCCTTGTAYTTGCATCAAACTGAGGWCATTGTATTGACTTCCATTCATTTTTGTAACTGTATTTATGCCTAACCCAGMCATTTTCYCTAAAATTAACCACAACTGGTCTATACCTAACCCTAACCTGAACCAAAACTTATTTCACACCATACCTCTAAACCTAACCAGTAAAGCACAGCAGAGCTGCAAACAAAGTGAGGACATTGAAGCAACAACATTAAACATCAATAACACAGCTGTCAGAAGTAGCAGTTTTTTATGCTATCTGTTGTTGTGGTAAGTTAAGCTAATTATGTTCTTATAATGGTACATTACATTTATATTTAGAAGCCAGAATTTCAGAGTTACAAACCAGAAAAATCTACAGAAACACAGRAGTCAGAATCCTGACCTGGAAAGTCAAAGATTCCTGACCTGACTTGTCCTCAGAATCTAAGATGTCTGTCTTTGCYATAAAAGTTGCTACAATTAACTTCCTACTTTTACTTTTCTCACTTTGTATCTCKTTAAACAAGTTGCACAAATCATACTGTGCTAACGTCGGCACGGTGTTAGGCCGCATAGAAATTTATTGCTGCCAGCTTGCATTGCATTACTCATTTAAATGTAACCTTTTCCAAATGTGAATGAACGTATGTGTGGTTTTGGAAATATCTGAAGACCTAAAGATTGTTTTATATATAATGGTGCTTTATACAGACATAAAAAAGTTTTTGTGTGTATTTGCCTCTAAATCTCTCCGTCTCTCTCTCTCTCTCTCTTTCTCCTCACCCAGCGTCCCCATCATGCCCACGCTCTCTTCGACTTCACCCCACAACACCCCTCCCAGCTGCGCTTCATTCGCGGTGATGTCATCGAACTCATGGACTGCTCTGATTCGCTACGCTGGAGGGGTCGTTGCCACGGACGCGTGGGCTACTTCCCCCCAGAGTACGTCCAACCCATTTACCAGCACCAGTGACCGGACACGTCCAAGCGGACGCGCGTTCAGTCCAGAGGCCTTAATCGATGAGGCATCCTGACACCCCCCCCCCCCCCCCACACACACACACTCCCCTCCACACACACCTCCATGCCAATAAAACCAACCAAACACTTGCTTCACACCCCCTCACTTGCCCTCAAACTTCTGGAGCCAATGAGTAAATGAGCTGAACKGATTCCTCCCACCTGTCTGTGATGTCACCTGTCGACAATTAAAAAAAAACAAAAGCTCTTCAGTTTTTCTTCCCCCCATGATTCTTGGCCCTCGTTTCTCTATTAATCATTCAGATATGGACCTGTAGAAGACAAAGTCATTAACTAACAGACTCGCACAAACTCCCAGGCATAATCATTCATTATATCTTATCAGTGCTAGTGCAGGCTAGCTAAAATGATCACACACACACACACACACACACACCTGGAGAGGGCCAAGAGAGACCCCCATTTTCAACAAAAAAAAGCAGATTTGCTTCGGGATCATCCCAAAAGATATCTGGTGAGTGGAGAAGAGAAACACAAGAACTAATTGTGACGGAAATGTTGAGGCCAGACAGTGACGATCGCTCTGTCATTAGGCTGACGTGTGCCGGGGTTTGTGGATAATATGAGGGGCTGATGCTCATGAGCACGCGTGTTGCCGAAAAGAGGAAATGGACGCGCTGCTTGTGTGTCTGCGTGTTTGCAAAGACTGACGCTCTGTGGATTGGTAAAGGATGTTTTCGTTCTTTTACTGAGCTGAATATTACTTTAAAAAAACGCTGCTTCAAATGTGATACGCGTAATTGAATTTATGGATCGATTATTTGTTTCTATGTATTTATTCTCATTCATCTTTAAACACAGATATTGTAAATAGTTCATTATTGCAAAAAAAGATTTTAATTCTGTTGCAACAAAGAGAACATCTAAGAAAACAACATAATTTACTGTAAGAACCTGGACTGGTCTTCCATTAATAATTGTTATGACAAATCAATGAAATAAAGTCTTACAGTTACCTCTTTGAACTAGAAGTTTGTGCTTAATTAAACAAGAAATGATGATGCCATAAACCTCAGTTTTAAAATCAGTATTAATCATGATAATAAAGATTGTACAACAGTTTACAGTTTTGTATTTGCTAAGTCACAACCCAGTGAAATAAAGGGTTATGGGCTTAAATGAGAAGTCACAACTGTAACTCATCACATCAAATGAAAGATTAAGTTGGAATTTGGTGAAACTAAACCAATCATGGTTCCAGATTCCTGACTTCTTAGGCTACAGAGATCATCCTGAAATTGCAAGTCGTTCCAGAGATTTGGGTTGATTTGACTTGTTATTCCGGAATACCCTGAAATCAGTCTGAATCCTATGTTTTAAATGCATTCTAATAAAAATTTCCTGATGCCATTTGAAAATGGAAACCTCAAACTATATTCAAATATCAGGATTTCTCAGCTGGTATTGAATGTAGCTTCCCTAACTCACAGGGTGCTTAGTGAAAATATAGAACTTTCATCTGAGAATCATTGTCAGCTGATACTGCTCTGTGCTTTAAAACATTCAAGATTAGATTTTGGACATTTCCGTCAAGGGACCCATATATAAAGTACAGTAAATTTATCATACATTATACGGCCAAAAGTCTTTGCTCACCATCCAAATGACTGTGCACCAGTGCACAAAGCAAGGACCATAGAGTCTGGTGTGGATGAACTTGACTGGCCTGCACAGAGTCCTGACCTCAACCTGATAGAACATCTTTGAGATTAATTAGAGGAGACTGAGAGCCAGGCCTTCTGTCCAACATCAGTATGTGACCTCACAAATGCTATTCTGGAACAATATCAAAAATAAAAAAAACTCCATAAACACACTCTTAAACCTTGTGGACAGCCTTCCCAGAAGAGTTGAAGCTGTTCTAGCTACAGAGGGTGGACCAACATCATATTGAACCCTATGGATTAGGAATGGGATGTCACTTGTCACGATATATGCAAGTCAAGGCAGGTGAGCAAATACTTTTGGCAATAAAGTGTATTTTAACAACATCCACTTATTGATGATTTTTCTCCTAATGAGCTTTAGCTGCCTGTTTTCACACTATATTACAACTTAATCCTCAATTCAATGTAAAATACAGATACACACCTGCAAAATACAGTTAGCACAAAAAGTAAGGAAGTTTGTGTTTGATAGATTATTTCTTTGTTGTAACCAGGCTTCTTGGCAATAAATCTTTGATTGGGCGCCTGATTGCCAACACCTGTGGGTACCAGATATAGGGGTATAAATCAGCTGCTTTATCACAATATAACATTATATTGATTTGTTTGAATGAAGGTTTCTTGATATGACAAAGTCTATCATGGTATGATTTTGATTAAATTCAATTCACAAATCTGTGATCAATATGCAATACCATCATAGCACAATGAGTGTGTTTGATGGGCGTATGATGATGATAGTTTATATTTTTGTTTTGTCTCAGTGTAATTGAATCATTAATCATTTAATCAAAGTAGCTCAATATACTGCTATATTCCTAATCAGAAGCTCAAAACAAGTGTCAGTAGCAACAGTAAATAAGCTGTTTGCAGGGAAGATTTGGCAAATTGTTCACAACCCAGTTCTACTACTCATCCACCCACTTTGGATGTTATCATCCATTAAGTGGACGTTATTAGCCGTTATCAGTCCCATAGAATGGCTTCAGACTGTCCCAACTATGCCCCCTAGCAGGTTATCAGTCCCATAGAATGGCTTCAGACTCACTTCAGACTGTCAGCTGGTTAGTATGAGGCATCAAGCCACTAAGGTTTTTTATGCAATCTGGTTAAAATGAGGCATAAAACCACTAAAGTTAATTTTAGAGAAAATGACATGGGCTATGATAAAGTAGTGCTACTCTGGCGGTAGCAGATTGTTGCATTCCAATGTATTTGGTACTGGTTACCCACTAGGGGGCACTGTCGGGACAGTCTGAAGCCATTCTATGGGACTGATAACTGCTAATAAAGTCCATTTAATGGACTGATAACATCCGAACCAGCTGGCTCATCCCACAAATGCATGTTCCTTACAAATGTGGCACCATTTAAAAGAGAAATTATCAGGCTTTCCAACTTTATAAGGTTTATTGTCAAGAAGCATTGTTACAACAAAGAAATAATCTTCCAATTACCAATTTCCCCTCTTTTAGTGCTAAACTTATATATCAGCTGGATCAGTGGTTCTCAAACTCTACCTCAGAAAGTCCTAAATATGTCATACTTGCTTCAAGTACTGTACGTCCATGATGACAAAGGCCAAAAAAGCATTACTGCAACTTTAGAAGCTTATATTCACATCTGACATAACTGAGCAAACTGGCCAATCCACTAATGCTGGTTGAAGTGTTCAGCCAACCCATTCTCACTCCCAAGTCATCACATATTGATGCTTTTCCTAGGTTCCCTCTGCGTCCGATTTTGATGTGTCAGGTACCCCCCTTCCATCAGTTGTTGAYGAGATGGGGCGGAATCCATTGTCATAATTTCAGAAAATGTAGAAAATGCACCAAAACTACCATCCTAAAGCCTAAAACTACCTTTATTCACTCTAGACATGCTGTCCCTGACCCTAGTACCTAAAATTAAGTATTAATCTTGATCCCTAAAATTAAGCATTTTTAGAAATTGTAGGAAATTCACGTGAATTACGTGCTCCAAAGCCTACCCTAGACATCCTATCCCTGACCCCACTACATAAAATTAACCATGAACCCTGACCCCTAATATTAACCATGGACCCCAAGTCAAAGACCCCTATATTTTGTGTCCCAACGCGTCAAACCCGGACGATGAGGGAACACAGAAATGCCTGCTGCGTCAAAAACTGACGCGAAGGGTGCACCCGAAGCATCAAAATAAAACACAGAGGGAACCTTGGCAAAAGCGTCAATATGTGATGAGTCGGGAGTGAGAATGTTTTATCTATGCTTGCGTTCCTATGATCCACGGTTTTCTGCCTCTCCACAACAGAATACAAATTTGAAATCATTTAAATCAGCTTTCCTCACTGTTTTGTTGCAAGAGGGTTTATTGCGAATGGCAACTTCACTAGCAGTGCTTAAATAGCCATCTATTACCCACTTCAGTTTCCACAAACCTCTCAAAATAAATCCAATTTCATTTAGTTTATTTTTGTACATTTTTGTTTTTTAGGCTTTACAACACAGGTCAGGGTTTTTAAAACAGTCATTGCCATTTGAGTTTTTTGAGTACTACAAGAAAGAGCTTAAGCACAACTACTTGTACCACTATTTGCAAATCACTTTGCATAAAATGGTTTGAAGCCACATTTAAACATCCTATAATTGTTCAGATCTAGAGATCTTTAAAAAAGTTAAATTTTATTGTCCCATGGTTGTTGTACTTTATTTTGATTATCTACTATCTGGTGTAGAGAAACTACCATTTTTATTTGTTTTCAAACTGAATAAAAAAGTGACTTTAAGACTAATTGAGACCTAAAATGTATGTGTACAGTGAAACATTTTTACCACAATCTTCTTGCCTCACTAAAACCAAAAAGTCACTTTGACTGAAACTATAATAATCCATGCTAAAATGTTGGCGTCTTTCTCTAAAACCTAGTTAATGCCTGGTTCACATGGCAAGATTTTAAAATCAGTCGATTTTCAAAACTGAGGGACTCCACACATGGCAGTAAAAAAGTCATAGCTATAATGTAGTGTGTATTTTGGATTCTCCTCTGTGTTTCTGTCACCTCACATTCGACAGGCTGAAAGCTCATTTGTCCTCGAGGAACACCACAAGCTTGGATGTCAGGCCAAAATAATCCAACATGTTGAATCTCTGATTTGAGATCAGAGCGGTCCAGACGTCCTTCCAAGCAGATTAGATCATASCACACACAGCAGTAATACCTCCTAAGATTATCTTTAAAGCCATCACAATAATCATAACGTCCTCAAAATTGTACGAAGGGAAAAATTGGGTCAAAAATTGGCACAGCTTTGCACTAACTTTGACTTCTGTTTTACTCTGCATGAAGATATGATTTTTAAATTAAACATCAATCTGTCAGAACATTTATACGAGTCAATTTTGTGGAGAGTTGTACAGTTACTCTTMTTTTTTACAAGCATGAAGTTGCTTCTGGCAGGTGTGGAGCTCTTCCACTGTGGTTTTACTTTTACAGTCTCAGTCCTTGAAAACAAACCTGAAAGCAGAGGTTCGGTTCTTTTTGAAGTGGAGTTTGGTGGAAAGGTTAGGAGCAATTATTAGTTTACATTTTGTAGCTCTTAGAACAGGAAACAGAGATTAATTTTGACCAGGTAACCACTCATTCAAACAAAATGCTGAAGCAACATTTTAAGCCTTCACATGGCCCCTCTGGTTTTGTATTACATAGTTATTTACATTAGATTCTATGGTTGTTAACAAGTGTAAATACCAGCGGCAGTTAGCTGTAGCCCTTCCCACACAGCTTAAAGCAGTTTCAGCTGAACTATCACAGTATTTCTGACAAGACAACAGTCTAACGCAGTAATGTAAAACAACAGAACCTGACTTCAAAAGACTTGAAGACTTGTGTTGGGCATTTTTTTATCATTTAGTTGCAATAAATTAGTTTGTTTTCCATATATCTTTTCTGGACAAAGGGTCAAAAGCTGAGGGGAGTTTTTCTCAGTTGTCATCGGGCAAGTTGGGTCCAAACAATTTTGGTAAAATGTTGGTTGTGTTTATTAAATTGTTACCATAAATGTAATATTAAAGTCACATTTTATTTCATTCACATGCAGGTCAAAGCTGCCTCTGGTGTAATTCATGTATCTGCTGTCACTCCTGAGACTTTCTCCTGTTGTTACACRAAAAATGCTCCTTTCAATAGAATGAAAACATCTAAATCGAAGCAGACAGCAGGGTTGCACTCTATAATTTCCTTGGGACTGAAACACCTCAGTTTGATCCCTTTGACTCCTTTGTCTTTTCTTTTGTTTCAACAAACCACTTGTTTCCCCCCCCACCTGCCTTCTTTCCTCCTAACAGAGTCACCTCTGACTTTCTCAAGACAGACAGTCGATAAACCAACAGCGTCCAGGAGGATGAAGAACAAAGAAGGTAAAAGATGTACCAGAAATAGTACAAGCTGTACTCCGCCTCATCTGATGCGCTCAGGAACCGCTGAGTCATTTTGAAGTCTCTATATTTGTGTCGTTCACAAAAAAAGTCCGAAAGTGCGCCAAATCTCACTGTCACCGGGCCAAAATGCTGAGTGAAAAGCAACCAGGTGAAAATAAAAACWTAGTTGTTAGGTAATAAAAAAAATAAATCCACAACAGCGTAGAGAATAACAAGGAGTTAAGAAAAAATGGGGTGAGGCAAGCAAAAGAAAACAAGAAGAACCAGAATTCAGATGGCCCACTWAGGGAGCAGTGTGTGATGGGATAAAAGCTAAAGGAGGGAAAGAAGGCATGTGAGCTGTAATGTCAGTCCTATTCACAGGTGCTGGATGTAAAAACAACCAACCAACCCCACTAAACTGCAGGCCCTTTTAGTGAAGGAGGAAGTATTCAACCTGCAAGGACAATTGTTGGGTCAAAACAGTCACCTTCTAAGCAATACACAACAACCAGCAAATTAATTAAAATAAAGTATCTGTTTGAACATGATACAAGTACAATTGTGGAAATTAGATGTGGCACTTCTGGTGCTGCCTTGGAAATTCAGTAGGAATATCACATTTTTGCATGAATTGCAAAATTGACAGCAATTATAAAGATTTATAAACTTGCAATTACATGAACCACTTGACATTTTTAGAGATTAGAGTCGTTTTATGGTTTGGACCCCTCTTGGATTAGTCGTCAACTCATCAATACAATCCTAATAAACCAGGGTTTCGCCAAACTTGAGTCAATAACAAGTACACGTAAGATTTTTTCCATAACCCTCGTATTGGACTGCAAATTTTAGCGATTACCATTCACGAGGGAGTTTCCAAAACATTTCTTTGGTAGTTATTCATTTCCTTGAGTGAGTTGCAGAACCTTGATCTTTGCTATATAAGTTTACACATTCAAAACATTTGYGTGAATAAAACTCTCTCAAAATAGTCACAGAGTTGTCGTGGGTGCATGGAAACCTACTCATTTTAGCTTCTGTTATTCTAGGGTTCTAGACCTGTACGTTTTTGTCAACTGACAGCAACTGACAGCAAATTTTGCAAGAAAATTGTGTTTTTTAATGTAATTCTAAGTGAACATTTTCTCCCAATTTTGTGTCCCCAAAAGTCACAGCACAGTGAGATACTACCTTCAGGACCTCTTCAAAAGATCTGATCTACCCATTTAGGTTTTTAAGTTAATGCTCCTTAAWGAAACCTTAAACAACATACCTTCGGAGTCAATTTTAGGACTTCTTACCCCCAAGAAATACGAAAGGACTCTTTACTGGATAACTGACCAACATATTTTTACAAAGGAAGGTGAGTATGAACACATATATACTGTACATGAGTTTATCCAAGCACCTGAAAACATGTGCCAAGACCATAGACTTAAATATAAAGATCACTAGACTGAGCCCCGCCCATACCATACACTGGTAGCGTCTGTGACAGCATGGAGGAGCAGAAACAGAGACCTAACAGGGCAACAGCTCACAGCCTCCATAGAAACTAATAGATAAACAGCAAACTGAACTGGATCTGTGTCACAGATTATTGGCCATGTTTTTACAATAAATTAATAATTATGTTAATTTCATTCAACAGTCATGTAAAACAGCAAATTTATACCAGAAAAATATA